AAAAATCCTAAAATTTTCCTTCTTTTTTGGCCTGTACTAGACACCCGTGATTGACCGTATATACATTTGCTGTATTTTCTCATGGTTGGAAAACAAAAAAAAAATTAAAAAACGCCGATTGGCAAACTCCTCCTATAGCACTCCTAAGTTCCGCGCATATATGGAGTTGTTACTAGAAACCTTTAAATTCTGCCATAAACATTCGGCCTTCTGTAAGCTCACTACGAGACTCTTCACATCCTTCACAATTTTCCGTTCATTGAATTCTTAAATGTCATTGACCAATGAGATCTTGTAAGACAAATTTTCCCTTTTCCCTAGGTTTGTCGCTTGCCATCTTCTATGCTGTTGAATCGAACCGCTATGCAGAACAGCTATACGAAGATTTGCTATATTACTATAATAAGAATGTGCGACCGGTCAAGAATGCCAGTGAAAGCATCAAAGTTAAATTTGGTGCTTCGCTTATACGAATAATTGATGTGGTGAGTAATTGATACAATCAGAACCATGTTGTGACCAAAATCAGTTTGAAACCGCAACTACATATGTACTACCGTGATGTTTTTACAGGATGAGGTGAATCAGGTGCTAACAACCAATTTATGGCTGGAGATGCAATGGTTCGATTATAAATTGTCTTGGGATCCAGCACGATGGGGTGGTATCAGAAAACTACACATACCTTCGGATCAAATCTGGATCCCAGACATTTTACTTTACAACAAGTGAGACTTCTTTGCCCAGAAAATCTCTGTTCATCTGTCCTCATCGTGCCGGACATTTTTTCGCCTTTCATTTCCAATTTTCCAGCGCCGATGGAGAGCCTCACATCAGCATTCTGAGTGACGCCCTGGTTTACCATAATGGTTTGATAGTGTGGAAACCACCAAGCATCTACAAATCTTTTTGTCCCATCAACATCGAATATTTTCCTTATGATTCGCAATCCTGTACGCTGAAGTTTGGAGGATGGAGCTACAATGGTTTCCTTCTCGATGTTCGACAGCTACCAGTACGTTAATAAAGCCGTAAAGAGAGAATTAGAAAGAAAGAAGTTCAGTCTGCTGGATCTCCAATCATAAATCGGCAGGACGAAAGTGGAAAAGAATACCAATATCTAGAGATAGGCATGGATCTCTCTGGATTTTATCAGTAAGCTTTACAAACCGATTCA